TTCTTTCTCATCAGCCCCTAAGTTAGTGAGCCCTTTCATGGTTTCAGGCTGAATGTTGTGAACTGACAGAGGCAAGCCCCATGTGTTAGGCCCGTGTTCCTCCTGCAGTGAAGCTGGCCTTGTTGGGAGCCTGCAGGATGGCCCTTTCACCAGCTTTAGACCCCAGCGTCTTAGTGAGTGAGTGTGTTAAGTAAGGGAATGACCTTCACGAAACTTAGGGTAACTATTCATGCCTTGAATAGTGGTTTAAATTTTTTTTTATTTTATTTTATTTTTTTACCATTTTAGGGTTGAACACTCCATTAGGTGAATTTAAAAGCTTGCTGTTCTGTTTTCAAATATTACATACCTCCAGATGTTATTTATTGCCTAAGATTATTTTAAACCAATATATTTCATTAAGTCAATAATATGGGAAAATACATACCTTACCTGTATTTACCTCATTAAGACATATTACCAAAATCAATGAGAAGAGTATTGCTGTTTTTGAGAATGAAGTTTCTAGCTTAAACAAAAGAAAGAGAATTTAATTTTTCAGGGCCTAAAACAAAAGTGTAGATATTTTCATTGTTATAAATATTAATCCAAATTGAGATCAATTTTAAGAATACTGAGAAGATCCTTAAGGATCTCATTTTGAAAATCATTTTTTATAAATCAAATAACCATTGCTTTGGTTTAGTGGAATTCGGGGAGTAGCTTCATTAATGTCTGCAAACTTGTTTTAATGTTTTACTGGACTTAAAAATCATGGCCTGTAATTCCCATTTAAAAAAATAATTGATGTCTCTAAGCTTTGGGTGATGTTAGAAAATAAATAGATTATCACCATCTCAAGAAATAAATAATCATTCAAGTAAATAAGACCTTTTATTGTGACTGTTAGCAGTGGTGACTTTAGTAAATTTCTCGGTGACAATTGAATGTTCGTGCTAATAATTGGAGCTTCTCAGCAGAATATGGCTTTTAAAAGAGGACTTTGTTAGCAATTAAAGTAGAGTGAAGTTTTTGTGTGGACTTTATTTTTTCATTCTCGCAACCAGATTTTTT